AGTTGGCATTCACATGGTCTTTGTTTAACTTGACAGGTTACAATGCCTGCGTCTTTGCCTATGGCCAGACGGGATCGGGCAAGACGTTTACCATGATGGGCACACCGAGCAATCCGGGTTTGATACCGCGCATTTGCGAGGAGCTGTTCGCGCGCATGCGCGTAGGCCAGGAGTCGGGCACGGGATATCGCACACACGCCAGCTACCTGGAGATATATAACGAGCGGGTGAAGGATCTGCTCGCCGCGCAGAGCACAGGCCATGCGCTGCGCGTGCGTGAGCATCGCAGCCTGGGCCCCTACGTGGAGAACTTGTCGCAGCATGCGGTCTCCGACTTTGAAGAGATACAGGTGAGTGCTGGTACTTGATTTGCGTAGCATACGAGACTAATGCTATCTCTCTCTCTCTCTCTCTCTCTCTGTCTCTGTCTCTTCTCAGGAGTGCATTGCGCGGGGCAATGCCCATCGCACCACGGCCAGCACCAACATGAATGACACGAGCAGTCGCAGTCATGCCATCTTTACGATTACGTTTGTGCAGGCTGTCTTCATGAATGACATGCCAAGCGAGACCGTCTCCAAAATCCATTTGGTCGACTTGGCGGGCAGGTGAGTTAGTTAGTGCATAGAGCATAGAGTTATGTCATTAACCAATTGTTGTTGCAGCGAACGGGCCAATGCAACGGGTGCAACGGGACAGCGGCTAAAGGAGGGTGCCCACATCAATAAATCCCTGGTCACGTTGGGCAGCGTCATTTCAGCATTAGCGGAACAGACGAGCGCCCATAATACTTCCACGTTGGCCACCACACCGAACGGGGGCACGAAGCGCGTGCTCTACATTCCCTATCGTGACTCCATACTCACCTGGTTGCTCAAGGACAGTCTGGGCGGGAACAGCAAGACCATCATGATTGCAGCTCTGTCTCCGGCGGACTGCAACTACAGCGAAACGCTGAGCACACTGCGCTACGCGAATCGCGCCAAGAACATCATCAACAAGCCCACGGTTAATGAGGATGCGAATGTGAAGCTAATACGCGAGCTGCGTGAGGAAATCAACAAGCTCAAGTCCATGCTGACTGGCGATGTTGTAAGTAGTTGCTTAATTCAATCTTTTGAGTAATGTAATTAATAAATTGTTACGCCCAATTAGCAATCGCTGCAGCCCTCGCTCAAGATGCTGGCCGATCTACAGAAGAAGGAGGCGCAGGAGAAAGTCCTTACCGAAGAGTGGACCGAGAAATGGAAGGTGGCTCAGTCCATATTGCAGGAGCAAAAGAGTCTCGGGCTGCGCAAGTCCGGCGTGGGCGTTGTCCTCGATTCGGAGATTCCGCATTTAATCGGCATACACAATGATGTCACCACAGGCGTCACTCTGTACAGTCTGAAGGAGGGCGAAACTCGCATCGGCACTGAGGATGCAGAGGTGCCGCAGCACATTGAGCTTATGGGCGATGGCATACGGCCGCAGCACTGCAGCATTATTCTCAAAGGGGGTGTGGCTACGCTGCATCCCTGTCCGCAAGCTCAGTGCTGGGTAAATGCGCATCTCATCGATGAACCCAAACAGATTTCTCAGGGCGATATCATACTGCTCGGTCGCACCAACATTTTTCGCTTTAACAATCCCACCGAGGCAGAAAAATTACGCAAGGACTTGAACCGCTCTCAGCTGGATATGTCGCGCCTATCGCTAATAACATCGTCACGGGAAAACCTGCTCACATGCAGCACCTATGTGGAAGAAGATGCCATGACAGGCAGCACATCATCGCCTTATAAACGATCTGACCGCCAATATTATCCGCAACGGCCCACGTCTCGCGACGATCCCGAGTTGCAGGATGAAAATCGAAAAATTCTGGATACCATTGAGAATGCACTGAAGCAACTGAATGTGGTATGTGGTATACAAGTAAATTTCCTTCGCCATTTATTAATATTTTATTGTGTTATCAACAGGAGCGAGTTCAGATGCATGATCAATACAAGACGAAGGTGCGAAAGCTAACGGAGGAACTGAAGCGTCTGGAGCTGGAAAAAATGGATAACATGCAGATATTGAATTGCCGTGAACAAGAGCTGCTTGCACGCAAGGATATGCTGCTGTGGGAAAAGAACAATGAAAAAGTTCAGGTATGTGCTTCCGATGAAACGAACTGCATGTAATGCTACGATTCTTTTGTTTCGCATGTGCTTGTCCAATTTGATTTATTATTTTCGTTTCATTTGTTTATGGTTTTTTTTTTCTGTTCGATACATTTTCATTTTAGATCGACATTGTGTGTAGACAAATTTCAGCATTTCAAACGCAGCTCGACTCTAAGAAACGCGATTTCTCTGAGTATGTAGCGAAAGAATTGCAGGAGCTGCATGATTGTGGCAAACTTGACGAGGTTTGTTTATTATTTTTAACATTTTACTTTGCTTTGCACTTAGACTATTAATTAGATTGTATGCTTAACTAAGCTCCAACCTATAATTGTCCTTTGCAGATGGGAGTAAAGATTGAGAACGGCACCCCCCTAAATGACGAGCTGCTGCTGCATGTCTCCGATTCGCTAGATTTGTTTGCAGCACAATTTATCAAGGATACGGTACGAAGAAATGTAAGTCCAAGTCTTTTATATTTACATTTTATTTTATTAAAATCAATCTATTCGATCAGAATGAGGAGATACGCAGGCTGGACGAGCAAATTGCTGAGAAGGAACGCATACTGAACGCTAGCACAAGCAAAATCGCCAAGGTGGATGAGACCATGCTGGAAATACAGACGCAATTGGAGCGACTGCGGCAGGAGCGTGCCGAAAGCGAGAAGGAGACCCAGGCAATGAGGGCTAAGAAGCAGAGCATGCAACTGCCGGTGCCAGCTGCAAATGATACGGACGAAGTTTCGAAATCGGACACATATGAAACCTGTGATACCTTCCATACGGCTCAATCGGATTTCTCGCTGTTGTCGTCACCTACCATCACAGAGGGCCAGCAGTCGCCGCTGAGCAATTGCTCGTGCGATAGAGACGACGACGCAGAGGACACGCGCAAGGATGACTTCTCCGGCAGCAGCGAGGATGCTTCACGCACATGCACTGCCGGCCCAAGCAGTGGCAGTGGCAGCACTTCAAATGCGCCCAGCTTGCAGGCCATTATGAGCGACAGTGGAGTGTGCCTTGAGAGCCGCAATCAGGCGGTCGTCCAAAACGGATCGGGTGGCAATTACAGACAGACCACACGCACCAGCGACGATGAAACGGGCTCCTGTTCTTCTTGTGAGCTGGGTCGAAACTCAAACGTGACGCGCGCCTATTGCCCGCTTCATGTGCAACGCCGCAAGATCGCTGCTCAGAAGGCTCAAATTATGAAAAGTCTTGAAACGGATGTGAACAAAGCGCAGCTGGACGAGCAGATTGCGGTTCTGCAGGAACTTCAACGAAGCTACATGCAGATGGAACAGGAATTGCTGCAAACAGTGCAGGACCTGGAGTCCCACGCAGATTGCTGCAGAGAGGAGCGTACTGGCATGGAGAGACAATACGATTTGGAAAGTTCCATAATGCGTTCCAGTGTGATGAGTCCAACCAGTATGGAGGAGTCTACCTCACAGATATATTCGCCCAGCATGACGAGATCTTGCCCCTCCATGAGAGAATTTCGTATGTGTTTGCTGAAATACCCAAAATTCACCGAAATTAATTTGAATTTTTTTTTTACGTGCTCAGCTGAAGGCGAACACTTCATTACCATACCAAGTTTCGTGATGCGCGGAGCTGGCAAGCAGACCCACTACGAATACGAGGTACGAATTGCTCTTCCCGATGGCAAATTAAACATCTTGCGTCGTTATAGTCGCTTCCGAGAGCTGCACTTGTGCATGAAGCACTGCTATGGTGCCAAGGTAAAACAAATGCGTTAAGTTTACATATTTTGTATTTTAATAATTTTATTGATTCGGATTTATACAGATCTCTGCACTGCCTTTTCCTCGCCGGGAGTTTTTTGCGTCGAACAGTGAACCGGTAGCGAAGCATCGTCGTCGCTTGCTGGAACTGTACTTGCGTCGTCTTTTCGTCGTTTGCTCGAAAATACCGCAATGTCCAATTTATGACGGACCCGGGGGACCGGGCCTCACGCGTGCCTCCCTCGTTCAGCTGTCGTCTTTTTTCAAGAAGGGCCTGTTCGAGAACGGAAAGCACGGGACGGGATAATAGTTAGCCTACTGCTGAATTATCTCCTGCCTACAGTGTGTCTATTTATTTATTTGTACTATCTGCTTAGCTATATGAACGAAAACTTGGGCCTGTTTTAGTTAGCTAGACCGAGTATTGGATGTAAATTTAATTGTGTATCTACGATAACACCTTGTATGTTCTATGTATGTATAATTGACCACCAGTGTCCTTCCACTTTGTTATTACTTTTATAGATGTAACTGCAATTATATACATACATAGCTACATAGTCATTAACAATCACTGTATGGAGCTTTACCTTAAACCGTAATTGTAAATGTTGCTACTGAAGGCATTATTGTGTGTGTTGTATTTAAATACGTGCATGTTTGAGATTTGTTGGTTAGCTTGCGCCGGATAATGTCGCTGGGCGTATTTTAAAATAGATAATTTTTGCTCTAGTTAAATATTCTTCAATGTCTTGTTTGTACGGGGAACTTCCAAAAGTTATTCCAGTTATTCAATCTGTGATTATCTAATGAAAGTTATATGTCAAATCTAAATCCAAACAAAAGTACGTAACTGAACATTTCACAAGTTTGTTAAAGAGAAAAACAATCAAGGCATATATATTTATTAAATGTAAGCTAATTATAGAAATAATTCAACACTGATGGGTCACAGGTAGGCAGATGTTTAGCAGTAGGTGATAAGCAATATTTAGTTCGTAAGTAATCATAAGCTGACTGTCGCAATTATATTACACTAATTATGAGTACAATTTATTGGAAAAACATTAAATGTTAGCTACTAAGATATAGCCTAATGAGAATTGAATGTTAAAGTTGCTCCGATGCACTTGCAGAAACAATAATAGCATAAATGTTTCAATAAAACAATTTAATATGTATTTTAAAAAATCGCATTTGCTGCCATGTCTGCAATGTTAAGCTGAAGGTCTGTTAAGTTAACATAGAGCAGGGCAGAGCTTTCATTGAGCTTTCGTCAAGCTTTTTGGCTTTGCCTCGACCAAGTCGTTTAGCTTGAACTGTATCAGAATAATGCTGTAACTAACTATTGTGAGCACCATCTGGCAGGAAAATATTATCTTATATGAATATATAATCTGAATTTCTTCTCACCGATTCAACTTACTCCACCAAAGCTCTTCAGATTTATATCGAAGAAATTCCTACAACTAAAGCGCAGCTTTAAATGCTCCATTTGCAGTACATATTCTCGCAGAATATTGCTGAGCCATTCCGGATTGCTATTTCCAGCGCCGCAGCGAACGTTGTGAATAATACGATTAATACTGGCGTACTGTAGAAGTACAAATGAATATCTGTATATCATTATACTCGTATTAAGTTCAACAGGTGTACAACTTACCGTATTGATGCACCTTTGACTGAGCCAGCAGGGTATCAAGAGATTTAGTAGCAGAATCAAAACATTGCCAAAACGCGCTGCAATTAAAATAAAAAGATTTCCAAGTTGATATATTACTCCAATCTGAAGCACTTACTAAAGCGGCAGTTGGTACAATCGTTTGGATTCAGAGTTTGTATATAGGCCCAATTGACGATGTGCAGCATGGCAAAGCCGTTATTCACGAACAAGGACATCATCGGCAGAGTGTAGTATATCTCTAGCTCCCCGACGAGCTTCCAGACACGGGCCACCAGCTGCTTATTGCGCTGGAGTGCCACACACAAGGCTTGGAGCAGGGCGTGGTGCTCGCAGTTGGTAAACTCCTGCTGCAGTTGGATGAGCGTGTGGCGCAGACGCAGCAGCAGTTCCTCCACGAAGAGCACGAACAAGCCGTATTCCACGATTTTCATTTGAAACATGACTAATAATAATTCGGTGAAAATCTTGTAGTACCAGTCCATATATTCCGTCATTGAGGGTACTGAAACCAATGGAAATGCAACCGATAGAATAAGAAGCCACAATCCAATCAGCTTAGCCAAACGTTGGCGAAACTTGAGACGTCTCCCCAGCCCACCCAAAGATTGCGAGGCGGCATCGATATCCCTCTCCAGGGCTGCAATCTCCGTGTAAATACTTCCCAGTTTGCGAAAATATATCAGCATATTGCCATGAATGACGATCAAGAGCAGCGGGTAGCAGAGCTTTTGTACCTTGCCCTGGGCACTTGTGAAGTCTTCGACCTCCAACATTAGAATTTGAAAGTTGAGTATTCTGATGTTTACATAGGTCACATCAATGCCCAGCAGCAGTATGCAGAAACAGTAGCAGCCGAAGCCGAGCATCCAGAGCCGCCAATCGCAGCCACGCAGAGCTCCCTCATAGAAGCTGGGCGGCGGCGTCAGCGTCAGCAGCGCGAGCAACTGCAGATAGGGCCGTGCTGCAGTCAGCATATTGCCCTCCATGACTGAGCGAGCTATTCGAGTGACTGACTAGTTGAGTTCGACTAATTAGTTGAGCTCCAGGCCATTTGAACAATGCGATTAATTACATTGATAAAACAGTTGAATATTTGCATAAGGTAAAACAAATATGAGCACATCGAATCAGTTAAGAAAAGGTCAAGGTAATATGTATGTACATGTAGTTTTACATAGGTGCTATATACATATGTAAATACTTTTCTTTATAATTTTTTATTTTTAGTAATAGTATTATAGTCATTAGTTAGAGTATTAGTCATTAATTAAAACGTAGCTTACGGAAAAGAGTACTTATATGAACTCGATATTTCATTTTTTATACCCTGAACCCATTTTCAATGGGAAATCAGGGTATAATGGTTTTGTTGAAATGTATGTAACAGGCAGAAGGAGGCGTGGCAGACCCCACAAAGTATATATATTCTTGATCAGGGCGACGAGCTGAGTCGATTTGGCCCTGTCCGTCTGTCCGTCTGTCCGTATGTTTGAACGCGTCGATTTCCGAAGATATAAGAGCTAGAGACTTCAATTTTTTTTAAAATGTCCGTAATTACAGCGCGCATATCAAGTTTATCATTAAAAATCGATAACTCATCCCGATCTTTTTTTATCGATAAAAAACCTTATCGAATACCAGTTATAAAATTATATCTTCTACACCTTTATAGCTAGAGTCTCCAAATTTTAAATGTATTTTTATATGCAATTTATACAATTTCGGTTTTTGTTAAAATTTACCCCCACCCTTAGATTCACCCCCTCACCCTCACTTTTGTAAAAAACGTATTTCAAATACTAGAGACTTGTGCTTTGGCAATTACATGCATATTCATGTTATAATCATAATCTGAAAGTTTCATGAAGATCGTACGTCCACAAAAAAAGTTATTAAACAATTAATTTCTCATAGTAAGCGATCACTGCCGCTCATGCGTGTTTATGCGTGTGTGTGTGTGTGTGTGTGTGTGTGTGTGTGTGTATGCCTGTGTGTGCGTGCATGTGTGTTTTTTTTTTTTTTTTTTTTTTATTCATTTATTGACAAAATTATAACAAATTGCAAGTTGCGTGCATGTGTGTGTGTGTGTGTGCGTGTTTAAGCTGAAAGACGCGAAAAATGATTGAAATAGCTATTACTCCAAGGGTTCAGGGGATCTCGTAGTCGAGCAGTCTCGACTAGAGCTTTCTTACTTGTTTTTTAATGAAAATGGGAAATGGGAAATTAGGGTATAATGGTTTTGTTTTGTATTTTTTTTTTTATTTATTATTTTATACATATTTATGTATATTATTATGATTAGTTTATATATTTTTATTTCTATTATTATTATTTTTTAATACATTTTTTCATATATTCATATTTAAAAAAATATTTTTTTATACATTTATTCTTTTATTTTAAACCCATTTTATATAACGATATTATTCTAAGCTTACTTTATATATATAAAAACATTTTACATATACTTTGCTTTAATATTTATTTAAAAATCGTTTTCAAGATTACACTTTATATGAACAGATATGTGTGAACTCTTCGCAGGCCTCAAATATAAGTTAAGCGCTCCCACACTAGAGTACTAGTGATTGGGGACGCTGTGTTGGGTTCTTGTGAATATATAACAACTTTGTGTTCAATGAAATAATATATTTTATATAATTTTAAACAATAGGTCTAAACTCTCTCTAGTCCGAATATGAACTGAACTAAATCTGTTCTACTCGTTAGGTTCTCCCCTTGAATGTCTGACTGGACTCTCCAGCCTCCTTAGATTGTCGAAAGTCTTAACTTATATATATGTAAGTATATTTTTAATCCTTTGATTTTATAGTCTACACGATTTGTAAAAGGTTCTTTAGTTTTTGTATAACAAGCTTATCTAGCCAACACTTATTAACTAACCATGTAAAGTAATTAGTAAGGTCCTGTTTCTCTCTGAGCCGCACTCGTTCCTTCTCTCTAGCCGTGCTCTATGGTTACTTTTTTCTTTTTCCATACACATATACATATAGATGTATACGTTGCCTGCAACTGTTCCAGTTTCTTGCTTCATTTTCCATTTGGTGAACGTAATTGCACTTCTTGTGCGTTGCAATGTGCAAACATTTAGCAGAATAGACACAAGCAGAGAATCGTTGATTCGAATGTATGCGGCATGCAGGCGAACTGGAGGCAGCCAAATCAAATGAAAGCACCCTCCGGAGCAGCTCCTAATCCCAATGTTCGCTTGTCTGCTCGCTTGAATTTCACTTAGGCGACCGTCCGCGCTGCAGGATCACGTGTCCTTTTTATACCCTGAGTCCATTTACAATGGGTAAAACGAGCTTATTAGCTTAGTGCAATTTTTTTGTGCTACAAGCCGTAAGGGACTTTTCTCTGGCCGTACGATTGCTATAGCGCCAATTAATAGCAATTGATATTTAAGTATATTTCACAGATCTTTAGGCCAGCAACTTAGGGTATCTGCCAGTCAGCTCTTTTTCTTTTTTTGAGTCGTGTTACTTGTTAATTTTAAACTACTTCACTTTACTTTGTCCACTCAATGAGTGAGCCATTCCAGTGCCAGTACCAGTGTGTGTTGTGTGTGTGTGTGGGTGTTGGTGTACGTGTGTGTGTTATTTCTTTTTCAAGTCGTCTATTTTTCAGCTTGATTAAGCACTTTGTGTAAGTGGAGCACATGCAGATATTCCCCCTTGCACATATCCCAACTGGCCAATGGCATTTTTAATTTACTCCGCTCGGAATATCTAAGTGTAAAAGTGAAGAGTCTTTGTGCTAAAGCGTCTGATTTTACCATTGTCACTTTTTTTCTTTCTTATTTTCTTTTTTTATTTGAATGCGAATTCTTTTCTAAAATGCCAAAAAAAAAAAAAAATATATATATATAGCTTTAGTTGTTGTTTCGCCCATTCAAGCAGCAAACAATAATTGAAATGCAATAAAATTAAATTATTTTCAACAAAGCCACAGGAAACGGAAGTGCTCACCAATACACACACGCACAGTAACAAAGGCACACACACACACACTGTCACGAAAGGCAATCTCTTCACAGTTTGCGCAGATAGTTTTTGCATTGCCTTTTATTGCGCTTATTATAAATACTCTTGGGTATTGTTTAAATTGCTTTCCGTTAAAAAAGACTGTCCATATATTTTATTTGCGAAGGTAAATAAATTGGCATAAAAGCATGTAAGCTGACTTCTGCATGCGTTTCTGCACAAGTGTGTGTGTGTGTGGTGTGTGTGTGTGTGTGTGTGGGTGTGAGCGCGTGTCTCTGTGATGTCTGTGTATAATAAACAAATACATTTTTATTATTTATGTATTCATGGCCATTAAACGGATATCCGTGGCCATTGCGCGTTAAATTGCAATGGACCCCACACCCTCGCCTCCCCAGAGAGGATCCGCCACGTGCCGTGCGCCCTGTGCATGTGTATTATGTTTCTGTAAATAAACCTATACATACAACTATATTGACTATATGAAATACAAACATATATGTACATAGTTAACTTTAATATGCCTTTCTGGGCTTATATTCGAAATGCAGCTCTCACGTCCAATTGAATTAACGCATAAATTAACAAAAATTATGCAGCGTTTAATTTAATTTAATTAATTTCCAACATGCCATTTACCTGGAAAGGCTCTTTAAGACCCGGCCTATTCGACTAATTAATAATGGTGAGCTTAAACGAAAAAACTTTTTTATGGCGAAATTTAAATTTATAATTTGAAAAACTTAAAAAGATTATGTGATTCACCATTGAACTATTTTACAATATTTCAGTTATATTTCATATGCATTTATTACAAGTATATTATTCTTATTATTAATTTTAGTAAGTCTCTTATTAAAGCTTGTTTGTCTAATCTTTCGAATTACACTCAAGAATTGCAATCAATTTATCTCTCTCCCTCGTTCACTCTTACCTTCTCTCTCTCCCTCTCTCTCTCTCTCTCTCTCTCTCTCTCTCTCTCTGTTCTGCCCTGTTACATATACGATGTCGTTTCTACATTTCTATATATTACTGATATGTTTGTAAACAAATTTAAAATTTTTCTTCCTTGATTCTCCGACTTTGATATTTAATACCATAATCTATATTTCGAGTAGTTTTATGAGACTCAATTTTTAATTATACTAAACAAAGTTGCTTGATGTTGATCAACTTAAATGTTTCAGGTTTTCTATTCTTGAGGTGAATGAGCTCAACTCAACATCAAACAGATGAAAAGATGAACTCTATGGCTGATGTTAATCATAAAGTCATTGCCTAATTTCCTTTAATTTTACCTACAATTTGCATTCAAGTTTAGGCCAACAGGAATGATTAGCATATCCTGGAAAAAGTTCACAATGTATAGCATTCCTTCTAATTGGCTTCTCAAGTATTTCAGAGCTGTAAGAAAAACAATTACCCTCAATTTTTTCAATTAGTAAATTGTAGATTAAATTTGTTATTAGATCTACTTGCGAAGGACCTTTAGTCTTATAAAAGGTCGACTTGCTTGGAACACTGCACGAGCCAAGGAAGTGGAGCCATAGAAATAGTAATTGCCTGATGTGTATAATACACTCGTATATGTGAATGGCTTTCTCATACATGACCATATACGTATGTATATATGCATTTATATTGGTACAAGTTTTGCCAAGAGGCGGCTGGGGTAATGTTTAGATTTGCCCGGCTCTAGTTCTCATATATTAATTCTAATTAAATTTGTTATTCAAAACGAAAATGCGGCACGTCCACGTCAGCCATTTTGCAAGTGTTAACCTTTTGGCAGTCGGCGCTAAGCTCTCGCAAATGGGCCAACATTGACGGCGACAATTCGCACGCAGCGGCCCGAGAGCAACCTTGACATTTTCTGCTTCTGCTTCTTCTTCTTGTTCTGTTTTGCCTTTTTTCATTACACTAATGAAGTCATGTACGACTGTGTGTTGACAGCAACTGTGGCAGCTCGTGTGTCTATGTGTGCGAGTGTGATGTAGGTGTGTGTGTGTGTGTGTCTGTCTTGTCCAGGTCCAGGCAAACGACCATTGCCAGACATATAAAAGGTGCATGACGGGCGCTGGCAGCAGCGACGCCTCATTAAACCATTTTATTATGGCCAACGCCATGGGGCGGACTTAACTTTGTCAAAGATTCCCACTCACACACACACACACCACACCTATACAAATCGACACAAGTGTAAACTGAACACATGCCGCCTACATCGTTTGGCGGAGCCCACATTTAACGCTTTAAATTCGTGCGCATCTCGAAGTGGAAGTCAAGTCGCTGGAATGCCAGCTAAATTGTAAGACGACAGAAATATTTCAACAGGAATTTACGATGCGCGCACACTAAATGCTCATTTAGTTTGCACTTTTATTTAGAAACTTGGTTTGCACGTCTGCCAAATTGTCTGCGGTAGCGCAAAGCCAGCCACAGCAGCCGCCAGCAACCGCTGCACCAGCAACAGCAACAACAACAACAAGCACGTGTAGAACAACAACGTTGCTGGGGCAGAGTGCAATAATAATGAAGGGAGAGGCGTAAATTTTGCTTTGGCTGCAGCCTGCCAAGCGAGAAAGCGCTAGAAAGAGAAATAGAGAGAGAGAGGCCAAGAGAGAGAGATATATATATATAGTGTGTGGCTTCTGCCAGGTGAGCCATGTTGTCAGCGGAAGGCAGCAACAAATTTTCGTTGCGAAAGCTTTTAGTAAATTTATGGCAAGAAATTTCCCCAGCTCGAACTGCAACTGCAGCTGGAATGGCCTGCCTGGCACTGGCCGTTTGTTTATGTCTTAGTCTCGGAAGTGCGGAAGGTGCGGAACCTAATGCACTCGTGCTCAGCCAATTGCATACGAGCTCCCACACCACACCGATACAGGGCTGCCTAATTGAATGCCAAACTGTTGAAAGGTTTCATAACGAGCGCGCTATTAATTTGTGAATTATTCACAAACGAATTCCTCGCACACGGGCCGCAGCTGCCGCATATGGGTAGACAATAGACAATGTGCTGGCGGGGCTTCCCTTGTGCCGGCAGCATCAATTACATGGTTATTTCTTCAGCAAAGTTTCAAAGAACCTTCAAGAATGCCGTCAAGCTGAATGGAAAAGTTGCAGCCGTCAACGTTTCGCTGTTATACAATGCGACGACTTCTGTTTCGTGTCTTATTTTTCCCCCTTCAAATAAAGTTGATTAAAGTTTATTCAAAAACAAATTTAACTTTTAAGGCATCAGGAACAAACCCAGCTGAGTGCGGCATGATGCACTGCATCAGCAGCAGCATCAGCAGCAGCAGCATCAGGTTGAAAGGATGCCTAATTCAGGACATCGCCACCATATGTGCAAATCCTACACTGCCTTAGTGCTCGAGCTAGAGCTAAACACCCACGACTCAACTCTCTATAGATGTCGACTTGCCTGCTCCATATGCTGGGCGACTTATGCGACTCTAGTGAAGTCGTCTTCCATGGAAATTAATCAAATAAAGCGTTTATATATTTGAATGAAATGAAATCTTAGCAAAGGCTGAAAATCTAATTAGATTTTAAGAAAATTATGCTCTTATATTATTAAATAAATTAGATTCCATCGACTTTGTATGGAGTTAGTCTGGCAGTCTCGCATAGTTCACTTTTACAGGGTATCTTTTGTTCGTTGAGGTCTTCGTGGCATATTTCCATACACCGCTACAGTTTCTTATATCCATATATCTCTTATTCCATCCAGAATTATTATCACAAACAGCCAGCGATAGGTGAGCTGACAGGTGTGTGGGCCAAGGGGGGGGAGGGGGGACAATTAGAGCTGCATCCACCTTCGCGCTGTCTGCCATTGTGTGCGCTGCACTGTCAGGCGCTGTCGTCGACTGTATTTGCATTCAACTTAATTGCGTTTTAAGTAGATTTGCGGTGACATGTCCACACACACATACAACACACGCACACACCCACCCACACATATGTGGGTACACATTCGCCCATTTGTTTGCATATGTATATTGTTCACGACTATTGCTGGCCTGGTTGTCCCTGAAAGCTTCTATTCGTACAGCCAACTACGCCAGCAATCGGCATGGCCCATTGGCTTGGGATTGTGTAAAAATGTCAGCTGACTCCAGCCTATGTTGTAGTTGGCGAACAAAGGAAGCAAACTTCAAATTTAATTAGTGGTTTTACTTAGCATGTCGTTCGGCAAGCCTTGAAAAGTCAAAACACTTTTATGTAAATTGCATGGCCATGGATTATATTTAATTATAAATTTAATTCAATTAAAAGCAACATGACTTTTTACTTTAAGGATCAAAAGTGTGAATAAATTAGAGGCCTTGAAGACGAAGCGTTGGGCAACATAAATCTATAAATCCAGCACAAATATGGAAAGCAAACATACATACGTTCGTTGTTGGGCGTGGCGACAGGATGCAAATCCCCTAGAAATCATTTCCAGCCAAATCTGCGACATTTGCGGTCTGGCCTGGCAGCCACGCCTGGTTCTGGTCCTGGTCCTGGTTGGCCTGGCCTGGCCTGAGCTGAGCAGCTTTCTGTCTCTTACTTTTCTACACGTGTCAAACTAATTTCGCATTTTGTTACCTTTTACACTTTGCCGCATTTGCGCAGGCAACGTCTCGCTTCCCTTTTTGCCGAGCACTGGAGGCGGCGAACGACGCCGGGGGCTCATTGAAATTCATAAAATATTTGCACAGCGAAATGGGCTACGTCGAGTACTGGCTGCAGGCACTGTATTATGTGTCAAGCACGTTTGAATTTAAATTCAAATATTTATCATAGAAGGCAAACAAATAAGCAGAAATATGGTAAATAGCAATAAGTAGAACCTCCAATGGAAATACCACCAAATGAAGACGAAACGGATGGAAGAGGGAGAATGGAAGACGGAAGATGGAAAGGCCAGCAGATGGTTAGTTAACTCCACACTTGGCTTCTTGCGTAACCAAACACTTCCTGAAGAAGTTCATAAATATGTAACCGAGCTCTTCTTTATTTTCAATTGCAAGTGGACAAGGTATGAATACGAGCTCTTGCGGTCAATTGTGGTATTTATCTCTCTACCAGACTCCCATGAAGATGTCAGCCTCAGACAGAGCTGACAACGAAGAGCAGATAACTGGCAGCACGGCAAATGCTGTCAGCGCAAATTGCTCTACTTATTCTGCATAATAAGTGAAGAAGAAGTGCGCCACGTATACGGCAGAGTTTAGGGCCAAGGCTCACTAGCAGCTGCTCTTGAGATTTATTCTTTTATAAGCTCTCTGTTAATTAAAAATTTTTTTCTTAAACAATCATGAATGTGTGTGTGTGTGTGTATATATAATTTGTTCAATTGACTTTCTTTAATTTTTATTTGTTTTGCGAATTCCTTGAATTCGTGTAAGTCTTATAGGTTTTCATGCTTTCAAATTATTACATTAACAGTTTGTTTTGAGAATTGAATAAATTTTCACTTGAAATTTATCTTTCTCCTGTTCATTCTCAAAATGGTTTCACTTCATTTTCATTGGCATAATATATGGCCAAAGAATAAACTTGCTTTTTATGGAATTTTGTTGGATATAAATGTATTTATATGTCTGCTGTATATGTATGTGAGGCAACCCACTGCTGGGCACAGATTATCACCTACGGGTTAATAAACAAATAAAATATAATAATGTGCTCGTACAGAATGTCTTTCCTTTGTCTGCGCTGTCAAAGCTTCTATTGAGATTTGTGGCAAAAGTATGGCATAGTTATGCACGCCTTCTTGATATTCCGAGTTTATTGTTCGTTTGACTGAGAGTATAGTATACATTGTATGCGCATATTTGAGAGTTGTTTTTCTTTTTTTTTTTTTTTTTTTTTTTTTTTGTGAACTCCCTGGGCTTAAAAAAATATACGCTTTATCTGGTCTGGCTGCATGAAATTTGCGCCACATTAGAGCGGCCTAATTGCGGCGTCAGCCACCCAAAAGAAAGAAAAACAACACCAAGGCGAACTGCGTTGACTCAAGTCTGTTGTTGTTGTTGCTGCTGCTGTCTATATGGAGTGATATAAAAATGGTCTTACTTTTATTATGCCAGTGACCTTGCTGGCAACTGGCAGCAGAGATAATAAAGCGCCTTCTCGAATATCAAGTGAATTAAAGTTGATTTCGAACGAGTGACAACTTTTCACATGCGAAACTTGCGCAGTTAGCCCTTCGCTTAACCTTGCCAATTAGTTTGAAATATAGAGCTAAGGATGCTTCCATGTGAAATATATCGCAGCGCACAACGAAATTGCCAATAAATAGCTAAAGAAGGAATATTTTTGTGCCATGCCCCCTCCTCGGAATGCCCCACAACAATCTAGCAACGGCGCGCCGAGTCTTTGACTTGGGCAACGCCTCATCTCGCCCCGCCTCGTCCTGCCGTTGGCTGCCTGTGGCCAGTGAAGATAAATGATGTTATCGAAGTTTGTAACAAAATGCTGAGATCTTATACATATACATATATCTATGTATCTGTGTGTGTGTGTGTGTGTGTGTGTGTGTGTGTGCTGTCAGTGCTGCCACCTGACTTTTTGCAATTGTCTGTCCCAGTGTGAACTAACGTGACTTTGGAGTCGCTTTTCACGTCGCGTCGCTTTCCCCCGCTTCATAATTATGTGTTTGAAAAAAATGCAATTAATTTTTATTGTGGATTAAGGTGCCATGTTTGCATTGCTATCCACATGCCGCACATACATATATCACATCCTGGCCACGCCCCCTGGCATTTTTGCAAGTCAACAGACATACACACACACACACACACACACACACACACACACACACGTGGCGTCACATGAAATTTATCGAGCCAGACTAGAACATATATCAGGCGCAGTTGTCAGCTCCCGCAGTTGGTCGCTTTTCGTTTTCTTTTTTGACTGGATCTGGATCTGCCAATGACTCCAATTGAACTCTCTGATTATTGATTTCCAGCACATCAGTGTGCATGTGTGGGATGCTGTTGTAATTTTGGCAATTTAAATGTCATTAAAAACAATCTAGGAAAAAGTCGCAAACGATGTGCGAAAGATGTGGAAGTGGGAATGTTCAAGTATTTATGCAATTTGTGGCAGCTGCTTGAACAATCAGGGCAACAACAATAACGCTAACGGCAAACGCACATGAATGCGACTCGTTGTCGTTGTGTGCGCCGCAACAAAAACCTCTGTTGAGTTTTCAATTAAATTGCAAAATCAATTTTCACCGAAATTACCATATTTACATTTTCGCATTACGCATTTGCATATTTGTAATGCCAGCCAGCCAGCCGGCTGGGGGTCCTGGAGATTTACATACATAGGTCAACAGGTGCAAGAAGGTAAATTGCTGCAAATTAAAATCAGATAATATATAATGACTTACGCAAAGCACACTCACACTCTCGCACACACACACACAACACTTGGGCAAGTTCAACGTGTCATATAAGCAGATGTGCCAAAGATCTCTGGCTCATATTCCGTCAGGAGCAGGCGAATTGGCTATACAAAGCGAAGCCACAAAAACCAGTTGGGGCGGCGGGCACTCTCTTTGAACTACAAACGCCACAGTGAGACCCCAAAGTCAGCATGTTGGCATTTCAGTAGGCACGTGCAGCACACTCACTGGCACAAGGATACAAGCAGACGCACACGCACACACCTATGGGTGTGAGTGGGGGTGTGAGTGTGAGTGCGAGTGCGAGTATGTAGAATACTTGTGCCAAATATGCCGATAATTACATTTGGAAAAATTGTTTCCTTTACTGCACGAGTCATGGGAGTGGGGCAACAAGTGCGAGGGAAGTTATGAAAATAACTCAAATAAATCAAATAACTTGCACAACTTCTATACCAAATGTATATCAAATATTTTTGCCTTACTTGAAATGCTAAGTGTTAAACTTATACAGTTGAGCCAAATATATTTCGTAGAATTCCTCAAATTTATTTAACACACAAATATTTCTATTCTATTTGTATGCATAGTTGAGTCAAGAAATTGTTGAGTGCAGTAAAAACTAACAAAATCCAATTTTATAATTTCAATTATAAATTAATAAGTCAATGGAATTAAAAGGAAATATTGAAACGGCAAAATTAAATTTTACATTTTCAATTATATATTAATAAGGCAAAAGAACCAAAGAGAAATATAGAAAAATTAAAAAAGCATTTACTATATCTTAAAAAAAAAAATATTTATATATATATATATATATATATATATATATAAAATATATAAAAAAATATGTATATAAATAATAAATAATAATAAATAAATTTAAAGAATATAAATACATATATTGAAATCTCTTAATGAAGGCTTTCAATTATGTAATTTAAAATTTAAATAAATTACATTTATTAAAAATGTTTTGAAAATTTAAGTAATGACATTTATTTTATTTTATTTTATTTATTATACTTATATTTAATTTATGACAAGCAAGAAACGTGCCTATACAAGCGAATAAAGTTAGAATTACATTTATAAATATAATGTATGAAATTTATAAAAATTTTAATATAATTTTTAAATAAAATTATTATTGATGTTCATTTCATAGAAAGATTTGTTGATATACGCTCTAAATGTAAATGCACAAAATAATTAAAATATAATGTATTTTTAAATATATATTTAGCTGATACATTTCTAACTTCAATGAATTTTATTGCTTAAAATTACATTAATCAATTATATTTTTTATATTTTTGCCTTACTGAGTTAGATGCATTGAAATTTGTGTAACTCCCCTAGATATCCAATAGGTTATAGCAATATGTGTATGCGTTAATTTATTTATACATACATATGTATATGCCGCGGTCTAGGGAAAGTGGAATTGCTCCACGGCTAATGGAAATACACATGTGTGGCTACGTTTTGGTATACAAATTACAAAATTATACAAATCAACGCCACACAATTGCTTCAATTTAACCGAGGGGCCACCGTCCTGGGCCAACTGCCACGCCAGATGTTTGCTGTACTTTAAGTGGCCCAGTATTGGCACAAAGGATAATACAGATCCGGCTGTTGCTGTTGATGATTGCGTTGTGGCTGACAGAGATTAGAGACGCGCCAGTCGCGCAATCAAAGACAAAGCGCTCTCGACACCTGCACAAATTATGAGCCCAATTGCAGGCAGGCAGCCAGGCAGCCAGGCAGGCGGTAGAGCTGATGATGTGTCGTTGGCTGCGCTAAACTGAACTGAAGAGGCTTGCTTCGAGGGGTGGCTTAAGTAAGGGGCTAAGCAGCAGTAGCGTGGCAATTAAGTCATTACCTCAAATAACTGGAGGCGTTGGGCTCCATCGTCTCCATAGGTGTTTTATAAGTGTGCAAACAGAAAGCTTCAGTGGTTGCATAACTCCAGCATCCCATATCCCATACAATGTGTGTGTGTGTGTGTGTGTGTCGATGTTTGTTTGCTTGTCTCTGGCTTTGATCTGCAATAAAGACATGCAAATTTATGTACAACGTCTATGTGTGTGTGTGTGTGTGTGTGTTTGACACTTATACCAGCTTCGGTTACGACTCCGACCTCAAACCCCAACCACAACTCCCAGCGCCTGCCCATGTTTTTGATAAGCAATTTCGTCGCTCTTTGTGGTTGTTTGCCTGTGCATTGGTGTGTGTGTCTCTCTTTCTCTCTGGGTGTGTGTACGTACATTTAAGTGAGTTTTGCTTTTGGTGTAATGAAATTAACAAATAATACCTCTCTGGGGCTGATTCCAACTTGTTGGCGTCACTTTGATGGCAATTTGAATGGGCTAAATGGCATTTAAAGCGATTACAACAAACGCTCTCTTATCAGCGCGTCCAGGCAGCACAGATGAAAGCGACCGAATGCATCACTTGAGACATCAATAAGTGTACATCATTTGACAAACAACATAATCAAGCTGGGAGAGTTATACTTTTTTATTCTCTGAAGATTATACACTCTTGTGGTCATATATGTAGAATTAGACAGAAGTCTTACACAGAAGATTTACTTCCGTTGGGTTGGGCTTTTCTCTAGTTATCGTCGCTTTATACTTATCGTCGCTTCATCTGAAATGCCAGCTGATCAACTTTTAAGCAAAGTTTAATAAATCACATCACATATTAATGTTATGATTTAGGTGCATATGGTACCTCTAGAACAAATGAATTGAACAGGTAAATAGAATAAAATTCACTCTGCTCTAATTGAGAGTATATATAACAATAAGACTTACTAAATACAATTACGCTTTACGATTCAGAATTAAAATTATTAGAATAATTACCATTCATATTCTGAAAACATTCGCCTTTTTTGCGGCTTTATTATATTCTGACTAATCGCCAACATTGAAATAATTAAATTAATAACAGGCCAATGATGGCATTATGTAAATTATTAATCAGAAAAAGTTTTTTAATTAAAAGTTAATTTATATTGTGCCGCTGGGTGTCAATACGTCTAACGGACGACAGACAGGAGGCCTATGACTTTAATGTCGAGCATTTCGCAGCTGCTCTTTAAACGATTTCAATCAACTGGCGCAGCTGCTCCAGCAAATACCTGAGCTGAGCCCCCTTTGAAGGTGAATTTATTTATAGATTTCATAATATTCAAAAAGCGCACGGAAGGCAAGCAAATTTGCATCTTTAAGCTTAGCTCTGCGAGTCAGAGTTCAGCCATAACGTTTAGGCTCTTTATTTCGTTTAGCTTCAGTAGACCAAGTATTTAATATATGAAAATGCTTTTTATTTTTATACCCTGAACCCATTTTCAATGGGAAATCAGGGTATAATGGTTTTGTTGAAATGTATGTAACAGGCAGAAGGAGGCGTGGCAGACCCCACAAAGTATATATATTCTTGATCAGGGCGACGAGCTAAGTTGATTTGGCCCTGTCCGTCTGTCTGTCCGTCCGTCTGTCCGTCTGTCCGTATGTATGAACGCGTCGATTTCAGAAGATATAAGAGCTAGAGACTTCATTTTTTTTTAAATGTCCGTAATTACAGCGCGAATATCAAGTTTATCATTAAAAAACGATAACTCATTCCGATATTTTTTTTATCGAGAAAAAACCTTATCGAAAACCAGGTATTAAAAGATATCTCCTGCACCTTTATTGCTAGAGTCTCCAAATTTGTTATGTATGCTTATATGCAACTTATGCAATTTCGGTTTTTGTTAAGATTTACCCCCACCCCTATATCCACCCCCTTACCCTCACATTTGTAAAAAGCGTATTTCAAATACTAGAGACTTCTGCTTTGGCAAATACATGTATATCCATGTTGTTATCATAATCTGAAAGTTTCATGAGGATCGTATGTCCACAAAAAAAGTTATTAAACAATTAAGTTCTCAAACTGTAGCCCATGCGTGTTTATGCGTGGGTGCTTGTGTGTGTATGTGTTTGTGTATGTGTGTGTGTTTGTGTATGTGTGTGTGTATACGTTTGTGTGTGTATGCGTGTGTGTGTGTGTATGCGTGTGTGTGTGTGCGTGCGTGTTTCTTGTGTAAGTTGAAAGACGCGAAAAATTATTGAATTATCTATTGCTCCAAGGGTTCAGGGGATCTCGTAGTCGAGCAATCTCGACTATAGCTTTCTTACTTGTTTTATAATCTATCAGCTGGTCGTGTGTATCAAAATAGCAATTTCGGTCTAGACTAAAATATCTTTGATATTGCACGGAAACTGCTGCAAGGGCTGTCATTATTAAAGAATTTATTTTGATGACACAATTTTGAAGGGAAAATTGTTGATATATTACTTTTAGCACATGCCACATAAATGAAATATAAAAGAAAGAAATAAATAATATATTTATTTGAATGCTTCTCAATTTAAATGAATGTCAAATAAAGGCAAAGCATATATTGAATAATCCAGCCATGAGTGAATTGAATTACTATTCGAATATCATTTCGAAAATCTCAGATTGCTTTCATTTAGTTTGATGCGATTTGGTATTTGATTTGACAACTTTAGCTTTTAATTAAATGAATGAACGGGACTGTCAGTACCTCATCGAATTCAATTAGCCAATTAGCTATTGATTTTTAAGTCGACGAGCGAAAAAACCCAAAACGAATGCTCCTCAGTCATGTGTTATGTGTCAGTCAAGCAGCACAATTCGGCACTGCGCTTCATACGGCTGCTGATGTACTTGACGCTTATAGTGCCGCCATGCCCACATCTTCAGCTGAGGCTGCTGTACACTGCAAGTATGATAGTCTATCTCTGTCTAATATCCCGTTGGCGCATCGCCTTCAACTACCACGTGGACTACGACCGGCTGAATGATACCGTTTCATATGTGCTTGACCTACTCAATTTTGTGGCATTGACAGTCAGCCATTTCGTGATATCCTTTCAATTGATCTGGCAGAGCCGCAGCAGTCAAATCGAGACACAGTTTTTGCACATACAAAATGTGCTCTATGAGAAAATTGGCCATAAGGTTAATGCCAGCCGCAGTCGGTTAATCACGAACCGAGTCTTTCGCTTATTGTTGTTCCGCATACTTATTCTATTGGGCTCGACAGTTTACAACAATACAAGCTCGAACGAATCGCTGCTGCTCATCGCCAACTTCTATTCGCAAGTGGTGCTCATATTGCGCTGCAGCGAGTTCACATTGCAGTCAGCTCTCGTGCTGATCATCTACCAAGAGATGCATGAGGCAGCCTCCGCTGTCATTTCAAGGCTTGAGAGTTCGAGGTGCGATACCTGGTCCCTGCACCGTTTGCCTCTCAAGCACATCGCCTGTCTGCAGCAGCTTCATCTCCTGCTCTGGAATTTACAGCGAGACATCGAGAAATACTTCAAGCGCGCTCTCATTGTGCTGATGCTGAAATTCTTTATAGACACCTCGGTGCACCCCTACTGGGCCTATGTGAACAGAATCCAAACGAACAATGTTCCAATGCAGATCTGTAGGTAATTGTGTAGACTCGGCATCTGGATAAAGTCTATATCTATTCAGTTCTGCTCTCAGGGTGTGCTACGGAGGAGCTTGGCATACTGCTGGAGATGTGTATGCCCTGTTGGTTGTGGACCCGCTGCGATCAGCTGCAGCGCAAGTTTCGAGCGATTTTCCACGGAGTATCCGTGGATCGACGCAACGAGCAGCTGAATACCGCATTGCTACGAGTCTCGGCGCAGCTCGGGCAGGAATCTTGTGAGTTCACAGTTGGCGGATTGCTTACGATCAATAATAATTTGTTGGGCAAAGTGAGCTATGAGTTTATGCATCCTAAATAGGCGTTCTCTAATATACTAATTTGGCAGTTTTTGTTCGGAGTTGTGAGCTATACCCTGATTTGCATTCAATTCTGGATAACATACACGACGAAGATGCGATTAGAAGCAGAAACTGAAGGTGGCGTTCATCAGGATTCATTGAATGGAACAACAATTTGAATGTCAAGATTCTGGTATATTAAGGCTTATATTTAGGCTTTTAGCCTAAAAGAAATATTAATATTTATTTTGCATATATCACAAATTTAAATTATAAACTTCTAATTGTGTATTTTATATATGTGTTAGGTTAGATTATAGACAATTTAAGGTCATATATAAATATAAGTCTAATCTAAATTATATGTTGATTACAATAATGCTGGATTCATTGTCCATAAGAAAACTATGCCCGATTTAAATTTTCAAATATGATTTAAATTTAAAATAAAAATAAAAATAAGCTGCATCAAGGTTCATGGTCAAATGAATATACATATATCAATTTTAATATATAACTATATTAGGCATGTCTGTATGTAGTATCAGATATGTTTTAAAATTTGTTTCTTTTTATTTCACTTATAACATTAATGAAGAGGAAAATTACCTAGGAAATGGTAGTTCAAGTTAAGCGAAGGACTTATCTTTGGAAGCATGTAAGCTGCTAAGGACAAGATATAAACTGAAATTCTTACGAAACTTTTTCCTTTTGTTACAAACAGTATAATATATACATATGTACGTTGATGGGAATATAAGATATCCTGTATGCAACAAAGATTTTTAATTTTTATTCCTCTTCCCCTTGGTATATATGTATGTATGTAAGTATATATTAATATGCATATTTGTCAAAGTATATATGTATGTGTAAACTCAACCAGATAGCGTTGCTCATTGTGTGCGCTGAAGGACAGTTGAGCGCATTAACTTTCAATTAGCCAATTAGTAGCTGATTGTGGATCTCAGTGAGTATGCAACATTATGAAAGGGGGCTTGGCTCTTTCAAAGGACTTTAGTCATGTGGCACGTGCCTGGCGAGTTGCATGCAGCTTCGCTGCGCTGCATAAGCCGCTTGAAGCTCTGGCTGCTGCTGCTGCCGCCCCACCCGGTGCTTCAGCTGAGGCTGCTCTACACCGTTAGTTTGCTGAGCTACCTGGTTTTCATCCTGCATTGGCGATTTAGCTTCAACTACGGCGTTGTCTACAATCGCAATGACAGTTTTTCGCGTGTTGTCGACTTGCTGAACTTTGTCACGCTGACAGCCGCCCACCTGGCCGTCGCAATGGAGCTGATCTGGAGGGATCGCAGCGAGCAGATTGAGCAGCAGCTGGAACGAGTGCGCTACGTGCTTCGAGTGCAGTTCGGCCAGAAGGTGAACATGCTGCGAGTGCATCGCTACTGCCGGAGCATCAACTCAATATTGCTGATATGCTGCCTAATGCTGCTGCTGATGACCATTTACAATAATCTGGTCACCAACATGTCGCGGCTGCTCGTCTACGCCTTCTACTCGGAAGTTATTCTGCTGTTGCGCCTCAGCGAGTTTTCTGTGTTCGCGGTGCTGATCTTGGTCTTCTACATGGAGCTGACTGAGGTTAGCCGCCGGCTGATCCTGGAGCTGGACAAGACACGCTATGAGGTCTCGTCTCTGCGCCGCTTGTCGCTGGAGCGCTTGTACGTGCTGCAGCACCTGCTCGGGCTGCTGTGGAACACAGTGCGGCTCATCGAACGCAATTTCGCGCTGAGCCTGATAGTTGTGCTGCTCAAGTACTTTGTGGACATCTCCGTCCTGCCCTACTGGATGTTTATCAACAACTATAACCATGTGGATATTTCCACTACATACTGTGGGTGAGCACTCCCAATGGAACTGCCAGTCCTAACTCATTCCTGCTTGCAGATTGCGCAACTGAGGAGTCCTGCAAGCTGCTGCTGACCTTTCTGCCCAGCTACATCTGCACGAGATGCGAACAGATGCAGCGCCAGCTGCGCTCCACTCTGCACGGAGTCGCCACAGATCGGCATAATGCGCAGCTGAACACAGCTCTATACCGCATCTCGGCGCAGCTGGGCCAGGAGTCCTTCAGGTTCAGTGCTGGCGGCTTGATGGTAATCAATAACGAGTCTCTGGGCAAGGTGAGTGTATCGACTTACCAAATCAACTTCAAGGCCGCTTCGCTATTTCCGTTTCTATTACAGTTTATCTTTGGCATGATAAGCTACATAATCATTTGCATACAATTTCGCCTGGCCCTAATCGACAACAACCCCGAGGAAGTCGCTCAGAGCTTCGTTACGGTCGCACTGCGACGCTAAATCAAATTTCTTTGAATTGCGGATTTCTTGTGTTTCCTGAGAAAAGCGCTAAATTCAGAATCGCTTACATTACTCCTGCCAATGGCAGCGAGAACAGAGATACATATGTATTTGCTTACATGTATATTTATTCAATTAATGAAATTGTTTTTCAATAGCAAATGGATTCAGTTACTTTTTCTCTGTAATCAACTGGCAGACAGTCCAACTAATTAGTCATGAATACGAAGGTTACTTGAATTTCATAATACTTGATTTAAAATTCAACGAACAGACAAACGCGGAGGGGCGGAGGGGGGAGGGACGAAGGGGCCACATTCTGTTGCATTAATTAGGAACATAATTCGCATGCAAATTAATTAATTTGACAAACTTTTCCATAGCTCACTATGCTTGGCATTTCGAGCATCCAATTGCCACGCATGGTCGGCGATTATACGGCATGAGTCCACTATCAACAGTTGCCACAATGGGGCCGGGCTGCACATGTGCGCACGAGCTGACTTTGGGCCGGCCTCGGCCAATTGCTGATTCGTACATTGAGTCACGACTAATGCAGCAACTCATAAAACTTGAGAGACGTTCATTAACTGCGGTAGAGATTTTCACAGGGTTCGCCGAAATTTTCTTGAAACTTTTCACTTAGCTTCTCGACTTGTCAACTCTGTAATTAGGGGCCGAGCTGGCCTCCACCGAGGGCACTCATTATGCTTCAGCTGTTTTGGCTGTCATATGCAACATGATAAAGCTCTTGGCCAGTTGCTTTCACCGAATGCTGAATGAATTCAAAATTCTGACATTTTCCTAATAAGCCAATTTCAGAGCCAAAAACTTTGGATTACTCGCGTCAATATTTCATTTCTCTGACACTGCATTTATCAACGCTTGCCTGCAGCATCGATGCCACTGACAGCGTGCTGTCCTCAGAAGTGCCCCAGTGCCTGAGGAACGACAGATAATGGTAATAGCCAAGGGTTTGTGGGGCTCAGCCACTAACGAGCAACTGCAACTGCACTTCGATCGGCAGGTGCTAAGATATTGAGCAGGTTAATTACGGTGCGTCCAATTTTTTGGCAAGTTGTCACTTCCAGGCGGTTGCTTGGCATGCGAGAGTTAAAGCTGAGAAGCTGCTGAGGTAAGCAGCCGAATCGAACTGGCTCATGGAATGGCATGTAGTTCTTTTCATGCCACAACGCTTTGGCTCAATGGCAAATCATAAAGAGCAAGCCATAATCGTCTCGTAAAAATCAGACGCGCACGCACACTAATGCAATGGCCATACATGTAGCTATCGCCTCTCTCTCTCACTCTCTTTCGCTTACTCCTCTCTATCTAACACATTCTTTCTGAATTGGGGTTGAATGTGCGTGCTATGACATAGACAATGGCATCGTCTATGGCAGTGCCAGCGACAGTGACGGCTGACGGCGCGACGTCAAGGCTTTTACTGTTACTCACACACACACACACACACACATATACACAGTGAATCGTATACTTGCATATTCAGAAGCACTTTTATAGCGACACGTAGTCAGCCACGCTCTGAATTGCAGGAAGCTGGCTTCGCTCTCACCCTCTGTCTCTCTCTCTCTCTCTTTCTGATTCTCTATCTATTTCTGCGCACGTGTATGTGTGTGTGTGTGTAGTTATTACTTTTATGAAGCATGTGATTACGTTTTATTTTTAATGCTTTTAGTAAAATGAGGTTAGTACACACTTGGTTAGCGACAAATTACATTTTTCTTTTTGCTTGCCAGCCTCCTGCCACGCCTCGACGTCTGTGTGTGTGTATTTCATTTGCGCTAGGACTTTGGCAGATTATTGAATTTTTGGTATTTACAGCTTAAAGCCTGGCTACCAGTTGGCCCGGCAAATACAATACAAACTCGAATGTAGCCGACTGAGTGGCATTGCCTAAATATCCTTATCGCAGTAATTTACTATGGACAATGCACTATAAAATGAATCTGTTTATGGGTCTCTCTTTCGCTCACACTTAATTGTTGTTGTCATTACGTAAAATGCTTAAACGGTCACTGCCAGGCACGAGCCATGCGCACAATTAACTTCCGCTTCCGGCATTGATTGAAGCCAGCGAGTGCTGAATCAACTATGTTGCATGCACAATGCACAATGCTCCCACACACACACACACACACATACAGTGATGTACAACCAACCTACACACACACACACACACACTCACACACACACACAGTTAAATCATGCACTTGTTGTTAACTGTTTGCATATTAATGACAAATAACCCAACATCAACGCGGCTCTTGCCCTCCACTTGCCTCGCGCACTAATCGGAGTTTATGTGTGTGTGTGTGGGCGTTAAATGTTAGATAATATTGGGATGGCATTTCAGTGGTGTGTGGAAAGTGGTGCTGCCTGCCCCCAACTGAACTAATTTGCGACAAACGACAGCAGTGGAGCGCTTGACTCTGTGTGACTCTTTCAAAGTCCTCGCGATTTATGCGACAGTTAAGTGCCAGGCAAAAGGACCTTCGAGTTAAGTACTTCGATTGTATCTGTGTGTGTGTGTGTGTGTGTACATATGTTAAATAATAAAATTAATGCTCTCTTAAGCATTCTATATTGATTACTTAGCATCGCATTTAATTCGTAATGAGTAAATAATATATGAATTTATGAAGAACATAAACTGAGGCAGGCTTAAGAGGCTCTTATGAATTTTAAGCAGTTTTAATACAGTTATCTCGAGCTAATTAAATTGATAGGAAGAACTATTGAAATTTGTGATGGAATGGCTTGTTAGGAGATTTCTTGATAGATACGCGATTTCAATTAGATTGCTGCTAATTTAGCGTGATTTGTGCGCTTCCTTCCAGAATGTCCTGTGAACAAAGCGTAATGAATGGCACTGAGAATTGGGTCAGATGGGAGATGAGCCATCTCTCATGTCCATGTTCGTGTGCACTGAGAACAATTGCCTTGGCATATTTATAGATTTATGCTCAATAAGCAGCACATGAAACCCACTTTTCTTGTGCTTCCTGCTGGAGTGTTTGTTGTTGCTGTTGTTGTTGTGCTTGTACTACTTGTTTTTCCACTACTGTTGTTTATATGTCCACAGCAGAGCCACAAACTCAGTCAGCATTTGCAGGATTTTATTTGTGCGCCTTTTACTGCCTTTTACTCCTAACGCAGCCAGCCAAGTAGCCAGCTCTCAATACACAGCAGTCAACAACAACAAGAACAACAACAACAACAATAACAAGAACAACCACAGCTACTTTGGTCGACTGCCAGCAGTAGAAATGTGTGCAAATAATAAAAATCTTGGGCAATATTTCAGTTTTGTGCTTTACGGCCGGTGATGTCTTAGCTGAGCCGAGCCGGGCCGTGCCGTGCTGCCGCCGGCTTAGCTACCCTTTCAGTTGATGTCATAAATTATAAACAAAATGCTCGAGCGGAGCTCAAAGCTCCAGCTCCAGCAGCACCTGATTTGTTTATTTGTGGAGCATTTTTCAAATTTACGACAGTTGACAACGCACATTTGGGCGAGCTCTTGCTGCTGTCAAGCGGACAGCTGCCGGGACAGTTTTTAATGCGACTCTATTGGCTGTTCGACTGCTGGAATCCTTTGGCCAAACAGCTTCTGCCATTGATTGGTTTCCAATTTGGCCAAATATGTATATAATGCTGCAGGCGAAACAAACTCGCTCAGCTCGGCACACGTGCTGCTCTGACTTCAGTTTGTATTTACGTAACTCATTCGAACAGCGAGTGCACATCTAATTGCAGCGCAAACATTTACCGATGCTCAGCTGAAATGTCCTTTAAAACACAAAGCAACAAACAAAAACAAAAAGACAAAACGAAAAGACAAAAAATGCCTACACATTCAGCTGCTGCTGCCGCTGTCAGAGCACGTACTTAATTATTTGCCAAGTAATTGTGTGTACAGCAAGCAATGCCAGCATGTTGCATGCCGCATACTAATACTGACGCCATCAACATTTGCATTGACACATGCAACATGCTGCTGCAACACGGTCATCACTCAAAACCATGTTGCTGTTTTCACATGTTTTCAATTTGCATTCGAGTAACAGCAAAAGCATCCTTGCATACATTTTGTTTCTTTTCGAGTGTGCAAATTTACTCAGAATTGTTAAGCAAATGTGAACTGCCGAGAATTCAACTGACCTTAAAAGGCTGGTCTATCGGAAATTGCGAATAAGGCGAAAAAAATTAGTTCATTTTGTAATTATTCCAATATTAAATTATAGACGTTGTTTTCTAAATATTTCTGGTATATACATTTAGTAAAATAATTCAACAAAATAATGCATAATATTATATTAAAGTAACACAGATTGGAAATAAATAAATACAAAAAAAAAAAAAAAAAAAATAAATAAATAAATAAAATTAAAAAAATATAATTAAAGTATAATAGAATATTTAAGTATTTATATACTAAATGTATTTAATTATTTATTATTTATTTATACACATATGCAAGGTAAAAAGCCAAATTGCAAAAATAATATTTTTTGGTATTTTATTAAATATTAAATCTGAAAATATGTATGTAGCTGATGAGCGAGAATTATTTCTAATGTCTAATTAAACAAATTAATATTTATAATTGCTTAAAGATTTATTTAGAAAACCTTAAATAAAAACTGTCCAAGCATACGTTGTACAAAATGTGTAACTGAATGACTTCACAATTTATCGTTATGGTTGTTGCAATGCGGAATCAAGATGTCGATTCGTAGCACAAAATAAATACATATATATAAAATATTTTATTCAAGAAGAAAATAAGAATCAGTCGCTTAAGTTTTAATGAGTGTCTATTTAATTGTACATTTGAGTAGATTTAAAGTTTGCGCAGCATGGCCACGCCCACCAGAGTGCAGTGCCGTGGAGGTCCGCGAGTTGGGGCCGAATTATATAGACACGTATTTAAACACGCCTTTTCCGCAGACGAAGCCGAGGGCCATTAGCATTAGCGC